ATAAAATAGGGGATGAAAATAAACACAATTTTATCCTTGGTGACTTTAATATCAACTTCTCACCCTCATCTGATAACAGTAACTCAACCAATTGTATGCAGTTGATGCATTCATACGGCTTTTTTTCGATTATTAATCAACCCACCAGAATAAATCCACATTCATCAACTCAGATTGACAATATTTTTTCAAACGTACATAACAACAAAACCATCGGTGGAATATTGTGTTCTGAAGTGTCGGATCACCTACCCATATTTTTAACTTGTGAATGCAAACTATCTGGCCGTAAATCATTTGATGAGCTTATATATCGCAAAGAATCCAAACGTAATATAGAATTGCTGAAACAGGATTTATTTTTCGAGGGATGGGCTGAGGTATATAGTGTAAATGATGTCAATACTGCATATAAACATTTTAGTAACAAATTGCAATATTATTATGAAAAGAATATTCCTTTAGGGAAAATGAGTAATAAGCGAAATAAACCCAGGAATCCTTGGATAACTAAAGGTTTATTGAAATCAATACAAACACGCAATCGCCTCTACAAATTACATTTACACAATCCAACTGACAATAACCTAAACACATATAAAATTTATCGAAACAAATTAACAAAACTTATCCGTACATCCCGTAGATTGCATTTTTCTAATAAAATAAAAAAGGCCAGTTCAAACACAACTGCAACTTGGAAAATTATCAAAGAGGTAATGGGAAAAAAAACGAATCCCCCACCCACGGATAATATCACATTAAATGGCACTAAAATACATGATCCTAGTCTTCATGCAAATTCATTTAACTCATTTTTTACGAATATCGGCCCTGAACTCGCCAGCAAAATTAATAGAACTCACGCACACTTTAAAGACTATCTTTCCAATCAAAACCAAGAGTCTCTCTTTTTAAATCCGACAAATCCTAGCGAAATTATTAACATTACCCAATCTCTTAACAACTCAAAATCGCACGGTTTTGATAAAATAAGTATGTCTCTCCTAAAAGAAATAATGTATCCACTTGCAAAGCCTTTAACTCACATATTTAATCACTCGTTATCGCAAGGTGTTTTCCCTGATCTATTAAAACTAGCTAAAGTCAACCCCATTCTCAAAAAAGATGATCCTCACGAAATTAGTAACTATCGTCCAATTTCCCTACTCCCAAGTATATCTAAAGTCTTAGAAAAGATCGTTCATAATAGGCTACACAAATTTATCACTCAACACAAAATACTCAATTCAAATCAATATGGCTTCAGAAAAAATTACTCAACTGACTTAGCATTAATTCAAATTTATGACAAAATTACAAGTGCCATAGCTAACAAAGAGCATGTTATAGGTATATTCTGTGACTTGAGTAAAGCATTTGATACGCTCAATCACGCTATTCTACTCTCCAAACTCAGTCATTACGGAATTCGGGGTCAGCCACTCTTATGGTTTAAAGATTATTTAACAAACAGAAGACAATATGTTACATTTAATAGTTATGATTCTGATCCTCTTTTAATTCAATGCGGTGTTCCTCAAGGCTCCATCTTAGGTCCACTGTTATTTCTTCTTTATGTAAATGATATTATCAATACATCCCCCCTTCTTTCTTTTATCTTATTTGCCGATGATACAAATATCTTTTATTCCCATAAAGACCTTAATTCGTTAAACAATACTTTGAATTATGAAATTAACAAAGTATCAGATTGGTTTAAATCCAATAAACTTTCACTTAATACAAAAAAGACTCATTTCATGTATTTTAAACATCATTCTCATAATACAGAAACACCTATATATATTAAAATCGATGGTATGCTACTAGAGAAGAAAACTAATTCCAAGTTTTTGGGTGTTCTTATAGATGAAACCTTGACTTGGAATGATCATTTACACCAAGTTACAATGTGCATTTCCAAAAGTATTGGAATAATCTCCAAGTTAAAGTTTCTTCTACCCCATGCAACCTTATTCCTACTATATAATTCGCTAGTTCTCCCGTATATAACATATTGTAATAGTGTATGGGCAAATTGTGGTTCGACAAAAATCAATTCTATTTTCAAACTGCAAAAGAAAGCCATACGTATTTGTACAGGTTCGCATTTCTTAGCTCACACTGATCGTTTATTCTATAAACTTAAAACACTAAAAAATTTCGATCTGAACACTACTCAAGTAGCAGTTATTATGTTTAAGTACATTAATAATCTGCTTCCACCATCCTTTGATAACATGTTTAGGTTTAATAATTCCATTCATTCATACTCTACTCGCATATCTGGAAACTTCCATCTTACAAACCCCAAATTATCAATAACACACAAATCTGTTAGACATTCTGGCCCGGACATTTGGAATGATTTACCCGACAACATAAAGTCTTGTTCAACCATCTACTCCTTAAAAGCTACACTTAAACGACAAATAATACAATCATATGCTCCCCCTCTCTAAATTAGTATAACAAAGCCGTGACTTATTTATTCTTTATCATGCAACTGCTCACTGCACCTGCACTTGCACCGCACCCTCTTGGTCACTCAGTTTTTCGAAGAGAGTTATGTCGCCAATTCTTTTTACGAGGCCGCCATCCATCTCCAGCCTAACCGCTCACGATGGTGGTCTCCTGCGTTCCAAATTACCTCTCTAATTTATTGAAAATATTTCATATTTCTTATGTTATTGTATGCTTCGTACATGTTTATCGAATGATATAATTGAACATGATTTTTCATTTAATTACTTTTGTAAACATTGTATTCATTGTATTTGTTATTGTTCGAAATTTTGTACTTTGACTTTGAATTTGTATATTTTTGAACGCAGAAATAAAATCAATCAAACAAACAAACAAACAATGATTATGACCTCTGAATATTTCAATTGACTGTATTTGAGGGAACCTGGGTCGCTCATTCTCATAGTGGGTTGGCATAGGGTAAAAGAAAATCTACTATCGTGACACGGCGGCCAAAAGAACCATTTTTGGTGTGAAGCTTCCTTATGGTTTATAAAACGATTTTGTCCATTTAATACCAAACTCTCGTCAATGTCAAGTACGATATGATATTTGATATCATTTATTTCGTCCACAATGTGGAAATATACTTCCCACCAGCATTACAATAATACAAGAAACAGAGTACAAGTATATGAAACATGCAAAACAATTAACCAAACAATTTCAAAGCAGAAACAAATCTCGTCCTTTCACAGAAATAATTTTACGATATCCAAAATTGCTAAACTAGTTTTCTGATTAGATGATTACAAATATCTCACCACTGCTTTTAACGGGCTATTCACTATAATCATCATTTATGTATTAAGCTTTATGAGAACAAATGATTTATGATTTCAAATGATTATGATCATTATTGCTATTGTTATAACTAATATCAACGCCATCGTTATTCGTCAAAATAGATAGATAACTGCAGTTATATCATTGTGATCGTATTAAAATCATACATCCACGAATGTATACTAACAAAAGTAAGCAACTCAAATGCTATCGTATAATCTCTTCACGAATTGGTTGAATATGATAATAGAGTTTGGTACAAAGGATTGGCGGAAGCGTGCTCGGTTTGTGCGTGGGACGTTTAGTCGAATTCCAGAACGGTTGAAAGAATACTGGGTGTTGAGAGGGTAAATTTGATCTTTCATGATTTTATTTGTTTTGGCCATGACTTTTTGTTCGAACATATTTTGAGACATGTCAAAAATCTACTTACGATTGTCCAGGGATTAATTTTTCCGTAAATAAATCGTAAATAGCTCGTAACAATCAGTAAGTATCGTTAACCGCTCGCTACAACACGTAACAATCCGTAAACTGCTCGCAAGAAACCGTAAATGACTCGTAACAATTTTTGTAACGATATATTTCGGTTAGTTTACAATTTGTTTACGGATCATTTAAGGATCATTTACGGATTATTAACGGATTATTACGAGTGCTCACGTGATGTTTACGATTTCATTCGGGTCGTGTTACGATGGCTTTACAGATTGTTATGAGTTATTGCGAGCACTTTACGTGTAGCTACGAGTACTTTACGAAAATATACGTATACTTTACGACATTCCTACTTATTGTTTACGTTTTGGGGGAAAGGTATAAAAGCTTCAAATTTGAACACTTCATTTTCAGTTGTTATATTTTGGTTAAAAACCGTAAGGACTCGTAAATACTCGTAACTAACTCATAACTATTCGTAACGACACGTCAACAGGTCTTTACTAACATGTAAGTTCCTCGTATTTATCCGTAACAACTCGTAACACATCGTGGAATTCTAGTGTAAATTTATCGTAATAATTCGTATTAATCCGTAACAAACCGTAAATAGCTCGTAATAACTTGTAACAACTCTTAAATCGACCGTAAAAGTGGCCAAAACGTAAGGATCCGTGAAAGATCCGTGAAGTTGTGCGATCCGTAAGGACTCGTAAGAAAAATCCGTGTATGTGAAGGGGGTATAAGGATACCAGCGAGTTATTTACGGATGCTTGCCATTGACTACGAGTTGGCGATACGTAACGACTCGTTAGAAAAATATGTGTATGTGACGGGGGTATAAGGATACCAGCGAGTTATTTACGGATGCTTGCGATTGACTACGAGTTGGCGATACGTAAGGACTCGTAAGAAAAATCCGTGTATGCCTTTTCCTTTTTTGTGAATGTCATACATTCTTTAGACCTAATGATGGCCCTGAAATTGTTTCTGTTGCCTGAAGAAAAGGGAAAAGAGTGTGGAATGTCAATTAGTTGTATAATCACAATTTATACTATTATTTTCTGAATTAATCATTGGCACACGCAGATTTAGTTCATGATTTGTCTATTACTTTAGGGAGAAGCTGAAAATTATGGTCAAAAGAATATTCCTTTTAGAAAAGATGTTTAGAAATTAGACTGTTTTTGTTGTTGCAAAATTTTGTTATTTGACCCCCCCCCCCCCTTATTTTTGTCTACCAACAGAGCAGATGCAGCAGAACATCTCACACACCATGGCAGATGAAATCATCAAACTACTCTCAAGCAAACATGACGACAAGAACTCACGGTATATCCAACTCCAAGATCTAGACCATTCCCATCATTCTAGATCTGGTCCTACTGATGTAGTCCCAACTGCCCCAACCTCCCCAAGCGAGATCACAGACGCCATAACCTCAGGGCAAGATGGTGAGAATGGGGAAAAGGAAAAAACAAATTCATCGATGACTCTTGCGCAGAAACTGACGTTTGTTGGGATGGCAATCATATACTTGGCATCTTTTATGTCTTTCTCTGTACTTGCTCCATTCTTCCCTTACGAGGTAAATATACATAATTTGATATTTTTTTCTTCTTCATAACACAATATTAAGTCAAACTATTCTCCGATTCTTCTTTTAACCTTCATCTAAATTTGGGGGATTTTGGGGGATTTTGGGGGTAATGCATGGTATCCATGCTAAAACTCGTACTGAAATACAAAGGAATAAGATACAGGTGGATACCACGCGCTAAAAATGACTCATTGAAAACAAATTGTTCACTGATTGAAAATAACTCGAAGCTGTTTTCACGTACACCCTTTCTTTCGTAAAACCCACGGATACAATTATTGTCTGCCCTGAAAAGGTCTTTGGAAGGGGGAGTTTGTTTACTAATTCGGCAGCCACATTTGTAAAATAAGAATTGAATTCATTAGCGATGGCCATTTTATCATGACATAATTTTTCATCGAAAGTAATGACAGATTCTTGTGCTTTTCTCTTCTTATTTTTTTAATTCTAAGCTCTTTAGATTCTGCCAAAGCCTCTCCGAATCTTGTTTATTTTCTTTTGTATATTTTATTTTGTAATTAATCGAGATTATCTCGTTTTACCTTTCTTTGAATCATATTTCTTATACCCTGTATCTTTCATAGAGCGAATAAAGGGAATATTTTGTGAACAAAATTAATGGAAGTGTATTATGGAGAACGACGTTCTTTTCACACGTATATCAATTAACATTGAATCATTACCCCTCTCTATCCATCGAATTAATACCTCTCTTCATACATCGAATATCATACCTCTCTTCGTTCATCGAATCTTTACCCCTCTCCTTCTCCATCGAATTCATACTGGAAAATACACACACATCAATTAAATAAACCACTATGTAGTACAGAAATGTTACTATATTTTGATTTATTTGCTTCCGTTTCAATGTGGACAACCTCATCCAAAACAGATTTGAATACAAAGATAACGGTTACAATTTAGTTACAGGGCGCTTTAGTAACGAGACGGAAGGCAAAGAGGACGGGAGAATTCACTCAACCGAGATCAAATAGTGTATGCAGTTCGGATTCTGTCTATTGGAATACTATTATTCTTATCAGGTGAATGAAATAATTTGTATTGAGACACTTTACAAAGACTTTTGCATTAAATTTGGTTACATTATGAACATGACGGAAGGCAAAGACGAGGGTAACCGAGCAAAATAATCAATCTGCGCATGTGCGAACCAGAATTTTCTGAGTCTTGTTGATTTCACGACCGTTCTCAGCCATAATAGCGTTCGTTCCCTAAACTCGACGGAAGAGTTGTATCACCGTACAATAGACCATTTTCGTAATGTAACAAAATGTAATGCATAAGTCTTTGTGAAGTGCCTCAATACGAATTATTTCATTCACCTAATAAGAATAATAGTATTTCAATAGACAGAATCCGAACTGTATACACTATTTGATCTCGGTTGAGTGAATTCTCCCGTCCTCTTTGCCTTCCGTCGCGTTACTAAAGCGCCCTTATGTTACAAGAGGAAAGGGAAAACGAGAAATTTAATTCGTCATTGAGTCTGTTATTAAATCTGGTTGACGTTGATCTTGTTGAGAACTGTCACAGCTACAACATATCAAAATTTAGAAGAAAATCGATCAATATTTACACAGTTACAATCCATTTTCCATAAATATGCTGACGGCATAATATGCAACTTCGTCTTTTGAGTTCCATGCCCATTGTACTTATATATTTCAATTCTTGCTTCTCCATGGTAAACATGTAGGGGTGAAATAAGAATACAAGGGCAAAGGGCAGAGCAATAGAAAATTAAAGAACTTTACATACATAATAGAGCATGAGAGAGAGAACTAGAACCAGAGGCGGGAAAGGGAGAGGATAAGAGAGAAGGGGGAAGGGCAGAGGCAGAGGGATACAGAGCAAGAGAATAAGAGGGATACAAGGCAATAGAGATAGAGGGAGGCAAGAAAGGAGAGGGAGAGGGAAACAGAGAGAGAGGGAGAGCGTGAACGTGTAGAAAGAGAGAAAGAGAAAGTGAGATGCAGAGACAGACCAAAAAAAGAGAGGGGCAGAACAGGAGAGGAGAAGGGACAAGAACAAGAGAAAGGAGAGAGAGAGAGAGGGAGAGATGCAATCGAGTCCTCAATATTTCTAGCCTAAATAGGCTCTTGAATTATGATAATGAAAGTGTGCCGATGATGATAAAATGATGATGTTCATGAATACGAAAATGACGATTTTTTTTTTAAAAATGATAATATATATATATATTTTTAAAACTTTTTTGCCTTTATTCAGATTTTCATAGTTATACCAAAATGATGAATAGGAACACAATTGTTCTTACAGTATAAACATACATGTAGTACATTGTCTCATACATTATAAATACAGACATATTTTAAAAATATTTTCCATAAGTATCCAAACTAATAACGTACACATTCAATCAAGTGTACAGAATGTGCTAATACTTCATATTAATAAAAATTAATATTTTTGGATACAACATTATAAAAAGGAACAATATTTACAACATATCTTCTATGTAAATTAGTTAGTTCAATGTAAATTAAGCAATCTGAACAAAGATTTTCTTATATAAACAAAAGATATAAGGTGAAGGTGCTGCTTCATAACCCATGATAACAAAATTTGTTATATTTACATATGATATGGTGCATTTTTCATTATAACTATATGAGGGTCTTGTATCATCGGAGGTCTGTAACTATACCGTTATTTAAAAAAAATAAAAATATACAATATAAAAAACAAGCAAACACGATAGTAGATAAGTGTCCGGATCGATGAGAAAGTGAGGGAGTGAACAGCAATTACAATATATATACAATCAGTTCCCCTGCCTTAAGGGGTAAAATGTTTCCATTTGTTATAATGTATTGGCAGTTTGTCCTTTAATTTTGCTTTTTCATGTTCAACTTTTTTTGAGTTCTCTACAGCCTTACATATTTCTTTACTAGTTGGGAACTTTCCATTTTTACGATTACTGTAAATCATATATTTGACCAAAATCAATACATGATTTATTATTATCTTTCATATTTTTTTTTAAACCAAGCAACACATCAATCCATTGCATATTAAGAAACTGAAACATCTTTAAACTGTTTCCCATCTCATTCCATATTCTGGACCTTTCAGAACATTCAAAGAAGATATGACGATAGGTTTCTACTTCTTTTCTACAAAAGGAACATAAATTTGACTGTGTTAATCCAAAAAGATACAATGTATCATTACAAAATATGATGTTATGTAAAAGTTTATAGTGAAATTCCCTTAACTTCCCATCTAGAGTGGAAAATCTGGGGATTGGCTAGTTTCCGACTTATCTAGATTTAAAGCTATTACCTCTGGATGTTTAAAAGCAAATGCATCTTGTATTATAGCAATAAAAATGTTATAAAGCATTTTGAAAGAGACAGACTCAAAAGAATACACTGTTTTGTTAATGATAAAGTTAATGTTGGAAAGATCAACAGTGTCATTTAGAGTATCATCTCTCCCTCTGCAAATTCTCTTAATCTTCCAGGCAGCTGGCAATTTGGTGTATAGATCATTAAGAAAAAACAGATCGTCTACATTAAGACCTTTCCTTATGAAATAGTCCCCTGATCTCATATCACCTTCTGCGTCCGTCAAATGTTTAACTTGAAAAATGTTCACATGAAATAATTTTGCATTAAAAGTAATTATCCTACCTTCAATAAAAGTATTGTTAAAGATAATTTGATTTTCATTATGTGTATCTTTTACAATATATTCCTTCTCCTTAAGATAATTCCAGATGTTCAAAAAATCCAAGTATAGATTGGGTGCCTTTGTTTTGGGATTATAATTGCAAAGAAATATTAACTTTCCTCCAACCGTTCTGAATATATATTCGAATTTTTTTTCCATTTCATGTCATTATTACCACCAAGCAGTTTCTTAATCCACACTACACGCTGTGCATAAATCATGTACTTGAAATTCAACATTTTCAAACCCCCTTTATCATAGCTGAAATATAAAATATTCCTTTTTATCTTATCATGTCCATTCCATATAAAATTAAAACATATCTTTTCAACTTCCTTGAAAACACTTGGTGGGGTAACCCGACACATGCTCCGCCGACGATTGCTCCGCCGACATTTACTCCGCAAAACGCGACAATTGCTCCGCGACATTTGCTCCGCGACATTTGCTCCGCCGACAATTGCTCCGCCGACATTTGATCCGCCGACATATGCTCCGCCGACATTTGCTCCGCCGACAATTGCTCCGCCGACAATTGCTCTGCCGACATTTGCTCCGCCGACAATTGCTCCGCAAAACGCGACAATTGCTCCGGTGACAAATGCTCCTCGAAAGACAGTTGCTCCGCCGACATTTGCTCCGCCGACAATTGCTCCGCAAAACGCGACAATTGCTCCGGTGACATTTGCTCCGCCGACAATTGCTCCGCCAACAGTTGCTCCGCCGACATTTGCGCTGCCTGAAGCGACACTTGCTCCGGTGACATTTGCTCCGCCGACAATTGTTCCGCCCAAAAAGTGTCCCATAAAATACAAGTGCTACTAGTACTCCGACAAATGCTTCGCCGACAATATTTTTTTTCACGGGTTATTTTCGTTTTTTTTTTCCTTCATTTTCTGAATGCATTTCATGAAATAATGTAGATGAAATGAAATGAATGAATGTTGATGACAATAATAATAACTAGATTTGTAATACTTGTTTTGAACAAGAATAGGTGGGCTGGTCTAACTTAAATTTGAGACAAAATAAAGGGCAAATTTAAGATAGCTTATTGTCTCAGCTACAACATACTCGAATTTCAGCGTAAACGAAGCTAAAACGACGGAGATATTGCTCGCGAAAGACGGGAATGTAGAATCCAGTTTTGAAAAAAGTCATGTCCCATACAATTATAATAATACTATATACTTATACTAATCGTCATCTAAATCATCACGTTCATATTCATCATGAAGATAACAATAATAATGATTATAATAATTACA